ATGCATTTCTGCTCACCAACAGAAGCAATCTTCATCTTTTTAATTCCTGTCTGCTGTAAATACACCTTGCGATTTTGTGATCTATGCCATTTTCTAGCTCACTTGCCTTACATTTGTAATCCCAGGCAGCTTTTTTGTGTCTGACGGCTCGGACGTGAATTAAGGGCAAAGGTGACGAGCTCGCAGTCAATCTGCATGTAATCACCAAACCTTTCCATGTTTGAGCACCTGTCTCTTTCTCTAATCTGTGTTCTTGTGTCCCATCCCATTTAGCCTTTGTGCAGGTCTAATCGATGATGAATCTGTGGTAAAATGGCCATGATAAGGGGCTAAAGACTCTCAACGCAATCCCCCCCTCCCTGATAGCACCACACACACACACACACACTGGGGTTTTTAGAGATAACAATCAGGGGTAATGACAGGCAAGTTCATGGGGGGCTTGTAGCGGTTTTGAAGGGGCCTTAGTTCAGTAATGACTTCTCTACTACCCCCTTCATCCTTAACAGCACAGCAATTAGCCAATGATACAGAGGTAGCCAGTGATTTGTGGAGTTTTGAATGATTGAACTCAGCTCTCAGCTGGATTTATCACATCGTTCGCTGTGCGTCTTGCAGCTTTTCCATGTTTGTTGCTAATAAATAAGATTCTTAATTGGTTTTGATACGGAAATGTCAATAAAAGTATTTCATAACACTTTCACATTTCCTTTTTTTTCCCCTCCTCCCTCGTTGATTATTTTATTTCGCCGTGCTGCAGGGAGTGATGACATTTACACATTTGAAGAGGGCGAGTTAACTTCTCCAAATGGAAGGCTCCATTTTCAAGACCTGGAGAATGGCAAGCCAAGAGTGTGTGAAAGCGAGGAGATTAGTCCACTTAAATCGAGTCAGTTTTAAGAATGTGGTGCTTCACTCACTCATTCCATGTGTTTATAATGACAGTTAGACGATGTCTTAAACCATTTCATCAGATGTCAATTTCCATAAATGCCATGCTTGAAAAAAAAATCGCCTTAAACGGCTGCGACTAATGGCAGCGACCTTGGAGAGAGCGGCAACACTTAAGAGCTACTTTCTGTCTGCGACATGACAGACGGCATTGTAGGCCTTTGCCGTCTGTATTAACCACATATAGGCTTACATTTAGCTTAATGTAGGTAGTTCCCGAATGTTGTGTCGCACTTCTGCAAGATTATGATGTTGGTCTTTCATCAGGACATTCCTTTAAGTGTGAACGCGCTTTTGTCGTGCCCGCGGAGGCTGTTTTCAAACTGCTCCACTCAATGCAGACGAGGCTTTGCATTAATTTACCCCACTAAGCTAATAAGAATGATTCGTTTTTGTTATGCTAAGCTTTATTGCCTGTCTTTTTGACCAGAATGGTGGTGTTGAGCAAAGCGGTGGACAAGGTTCTCTTTGATGAGGGAATTAGTGGCCTATTCTTTCTCTATTATTCATGGCATCGCAGAATATGTAAGTACCCGTGGGTGTCAAAAGGAAAGCCGGCCCTATTGCAAAGTGCTCCTCTTGTTTCTCTGAATAGCAGGCTATGAGATGATAAACCGCTTAATACACTGGACTAATTGGATGAGGGTAAAAGAGACGAGGGAATTAAGGCACACCAAAAGGGGACAGGGTTCCAGTGGCCCGCCATTCAGCCCTTTTCACCGTGATTTCTTACTCTACTGCTCCAATAGGAGACGAGAGGCTCATCAAAGCGCCTTTAGTGCTTTCACCTTCCCCCGGTGTCTCGAGCTGTGGCGGGATGGAAAAGCGTGATTATTCGCTGGTTGTTGAAGCACAGCCCAGTGAGCTAAAATCAAGGGAATGCATGTGAAACGTTTTACCATGTGCTTTTGAATTGTTAATATATACTTAATTTGAAATGTTGTGCTTTTTGCCTATCGGTGGGTCTTTGTACCAAAAAAGTTGATTCATTTTGAATGGCTAAATTCTTAAAATACGACATCTGTGTCTACAAATTGGTAATGTTTAGCAAATAAGCACTTTTTTACATTTTGTGGGATTTTCTTTTGTTCTTTATTTTTTTTAAGTGCACGTTTAGAAAAAAAATACTTATTTGTAATAGTTGTGTACCCTTTTACCTTCTTAAAAGTTGGTAATGTTGTTTTAAATTTCTGAAAAACAACAAAAATGCCAAAATTATCTTTTAAATCACAAGTTTTGACAATACAGGGCTATTTTAATCAAATTATTATAATCATGGTCTGTTGAAAACCAAAATATGCCATTGCAGAAAATTATCAATACATTTTTTTGTTAAAGTTTTCTTCAAAACATAATGCAATGCACAATTACAAGGCAAAACTACTTTAATTTAAAAAAATCCTTAATATTAACAGTATTTTGTAAACTGTTTTATACACAATAAGAAGATAGTTAAAACATGTTTGTTCTAATAAGAACATTCTGGCATAACCTTCAGTATAACTAACTGTTCATGTTATTGATAAGCCTAATTCTAATAAATTTTTTAGCTTATGATACCACAATACAATTTATGAACACACAAAGCCATTTTTGTCTGAACAAAAATTAAATATGCACGCATTTGCTGGGATGACTTGACTTAGTGGCTGTTCCCAAACAGGTGTTTTTCCCACTTTGAGTGTATTTTGTGGTCAGCTCAGTACATTGCCAATGAATCATCTGCACACTCTCCATAAATAGAGAAGCAAATTTAGTCTTCACAAAGCCTATTTCTTCATTCATGCATTGTAAGAAAAGAGTTGAAGAAAAAAAAGTCGCCCTAAGCACTTCAGGTCAGTGCCTCTCCAATTGTGTCAAGCATTCCCCAGATATTAGGAGCAAATTGGTTTGCGATTCATTAATAATGTTCACAATAAGATTAAGGCATTCTGGAAAATCTCATAAAAATCCCAACAGAAGTGGGCTGCACGCTCCAGTGGTCCCTTCTACAAAAAGAGGAGAAAAAAAGTGTATGGCACCTCTCTTGGAGGTAGAAAATTGGTTTCCTTAATGCTCCTTTGAACATATTCTCGCATGCCAACATGTTTAATATGGACTTGCTTGCTAGAGAAGGGGGTATTTGAGAGACGAATTTGTTGGGCGTTATAGGAGCCCTGATCCCTTCACGCCTCCCAACCCGTCTTCATTTCGTCCGCTTCCATCTTCACTGATCCTGCTTGTTTGTGGCGTTATAATGAAACGGATTAGCGCGGGTAAAACAAGGAAAAGAGAAATCTTTACAGCGGCGCGCGCGATAAAGGAGAAAATTAATCCTTGAGGTAATTTCACGCGATTTGCTTCGACACCATGGACGGGTCAAATGGGCGAAAATGACTTTGTTTGAATGGAGCGCATTGATTGCTGTAATGGCATCGCTTCGCGCGTGAGACCCAACGGAGAGGGATTTGGGGGAATTAAATAAGGAATCCGAAAGAAAGACTTTTGATAAACTGCTTGTTACTTCATTAATGAGAAAGGGACTTAACGGAGTTGGGCATTTACAGATGTTGCGTCCAATTTAGCGCCTCTACAATTTGTGAGGCCTGCAACGGTTGAAATGGCGGAATAATTACAAGCCGCTTTGGTTAATAGAGGCGTAATGAATATATCATCTGAATCATTTAACATAAAGGTGTTGTTTTTGGTTATCTTTAATATAAATTACTCTCATCCGTTTATCGCAATCTGAAATAAGCAGCTCTTGGCACAGGAAACAAAATGTTTACTTCTCTGTATGATTGCAGTTTGTCACATACACTGCATCCTTGGGATAACTGATAAGTGACCACTTAAATTACCATTTTCTTATTAGCGACCGGACTCCCTACTGAATAATTCACCCAATAATTGCTCGTTTACTTTTATAAATAAGCTCTTATATCTTTTACATACAGAGATTAGTATGATTCGGGGTTTTTTTTTATATCGCAGCTATTCATGCATTTACAGTATTAAAAACTAACACGTCACTGATATAAAACCTCACAAATCATCTAACAATTTTGTCTAATTTTAAACCCTTGAAAACATTTTTCTCAAAAAGTTGAAAAAGCTAAAAAGAAAAAGACAATCTAGGTGTAAACCTTTTCCCCAGGTCATTTAAATTTAATTGGAATTAAGATGTAAATAATACAGAAGGGTTTATGTTTCACCAGTTTCGTTTATTTTCTCGAACTCGTCCCCCTGAACTTGTCAGGAAAAACTCTTCACTGAATAGCAAAACTTTCCGGTAAGGATTTCAAGCTCTCTAACCGGGCAGACATAAATAATCATCTAAAAATCTAAAATCTGAATCAAACGAACAGAGGATGAATCTACGTGAAACCATTCCTACAGTACTACACCGAGAGCATATTCTCAAAACATCTTTTCAAATAAACTATTGTTTTTTTTCTTGTCATTTGCCCCCCTTTTCGTTGCTTTTTTTATTAAACAGAGCTATATATACAGGATACCCTTAACAGATCAGTAAACAGGCTAAAGTTTAGATTTTCACATTGTTCATCCTTAAACAAAGCATTTCTTTTTCATTATTATTTTTTTTCTCCTAAATATCATATTTAACATAAGAGTGGGAAACAAACAGAAAGTAAAGCTGTAGTATTCGTTTTTTCAGAAATGTGCCAATATTGAGGCCAAACGTGAATGGACATGGTTCGAGATGGGTAGCAGTTTGTGGCATTTCCCTTTGGCATATTGACCCATCTCTGCTTCAGCACTGAGAGAAGACTAGGAAGAAATGAGTCCATGTGTGTATTGCAGTGTAGTTCTTCTCTGTAAGTGTATATAGTCTTTTAACACATTTGACCCAAAACACTGGTTACCAATCACAGCCTCCCTAACTTTACCATCTGAGGTGCCTACATTACACTCAGAAAGGTTTTGAAACATGTTTGGTGCACTGTATAAAATTTAGTGATGACGTCCTGGGAGGTGCTGTGATTTGGTGAGGACTCCAATGTCAGATGGGTCTCCAGTGTGCTAGTGCTATATGGATTTGGTCGTGCTTTTTGTTGAGATGGTTTCTTTAATCATTTGTTTTGTTTTTAAGGAGAAGGATCAGCACACTTCTTTCCCTGCAGTGCCGGACGGCAGGATGTTGAGTTGGGTCAATTGGGCCGAATGTTCCTTTGCTTTGAGACGCAGAGCTGCAATGCTGGATGCCCTGCGGTCGGCGGCTGTAGAGGATGAGGAAGAAGGTGGTTCTGGGAGGGCTGCTGATGGCTGCACTGGACTCTCCACTGGTGGTGCAGTTTGGCGCAAGAGAGCGGCCGCTGTGGAAGCACTGGTCAGAGGACCCATACTTGAGAAGAGTCTAAACAAGGAGAGAAAGGTTCTGTGATGCGGAGTATTGTACTCATACATTCATATACTCTAACAAGTGATTAAACAATTTGTTTTGGGGTACAAAATAAGACCCAATGCATTTAAAATAGGACTATTGTCATTTACTTTATATAGCAATTCAATGTATCATAGAAAATATGGAATATTAAGGTGTTTTACAGGGTAAAATGTATATTTCAGTTTTCCTAATTTAATGCAAAGTAAGAAAACTTTGATCCTACTTTAATTCTTAAAAATGAAGCTTCCAAAAGATTTCATGGTATTGTGATAAATATTTTGGGTTCCCCAAAAACCTTCTAGTGAACAGTTTTTAAAATAATCACATTTTAGCAAAGAACAATTTTTCCACTATAAATACATTTTGCTTGATGGAAAGGTAAGATGTTACAGGTTCCTTACAGAACCATCAATGCCAGAAAAGGCACCTTTTAACATTCATAAAACTACTGTGATCATAAAAGATTCTTCAGGATTTAAAAAAAAACAGTTATTTACACTGAAAAAGGTTCTCCGATAAACCTATAATAGTTCTTATATGGCATTACTGTGAAATGTATAATTAGAACATCTTGACTGATATTGTGACAGCAAATGATTTTACCTGCCAAAAGTGGGTCCAATGAAGGCTGGATGCCTGAACATTGCTGTGCCCAGGAAGGTTCCAAGGCCAAGGGGTGTGGCAGGAGGGAGGGCGGAGCTATTTGGGGGTGGGGCCAGGCCTGGAAACGCAGCAGCAGCTGCTGCTGCAGCGGTCCATGCTGACTCCAGAGCTGGGTGAGGGTGAGGTGGGAAGGGTCCTCCTTCCAGGTAATGACTCAAGGGGTGAGCAGCTGCCAGCGGCCCAGGAAAAGGCAGGCCTGTGGGGTGAGCCTGAACACCTGCCTTTTCACGTTTCCTCCACTTTGCCCTTCGGTTCTGAAACCAAACCTAAAGATGGGAAAGAAACATCATTAAAGCCCAAACTCTACTGTTTTAAGATGCATGCATCTAATTGTACTTTCACCCAAACATTATGTGCTTGGCTTGAAGTTAGGGACATGCCTAAATAGCTGGCCTTGAGAAGTTGAAAAATGATCCAGGGCCATTAATATTCCACCTGACAGCCTGTATGGTCATTTAAGCATGAGCTTGTCGCTCTTGTTCATGTGCAATATTTGGTTCGCTTTAATGAGGTGACAAATAGGCTGGAAGTCAAGGGTAATTACATGGCCCCAAACTTACGGTCTGTTACCCTAACTTTGCTAATTAAAATCTGGTTCGGCAGAGGAAAAAATGGGGTGGAGCGTGGTAATTAAGAGCCGTGTTAACAAAAGATGTGGGAATAACAGCTGAATGGCATCCAATAACAATTAATGCATTTTAAATTAAATTCCCCCAAATGTTGGTTGCTTCCAAGAGGCTATTTAACTTTCCCACGATCCCCCTGGTATCCCTCTAAACCCCACCAGGTTGTGGTACAAGAACATGACCTGCAGACAGGGACTTCAATAATGAAGGAAAAGTGTCAACAGACGAAGCAACAAGGACCTTGGCCCCTCTCACATGCTTCAAAACCCGGCCCCTGGGGCATTTATTAGCTTTATCACCTCCTGATCGAGCCTGTTAAGTGATTTGTTCTCCCACATCTCCAAATTGACATCTGTTGTTTTACACGGCCAATAACCCTGGTAGCTTCCTCATGTTTGCACTGTCTCTTTGGTTATGAGAGTTGGGTTTGAACATGCGAGCCACGCTTTGAATAGAGAAAGGAGGGGTGGCAAACACCCTTAATAGTCTCTCACTCGTTCCAAGTGCAAAGCATCGGATCAATGCCGGTCTATTGCAATCACAAAATGGGAAATCAAATAGCATTATCCCCCCTGCCCCTCCCTCTCCCCCGCGCCGGCGATGAGAATTCAAACACCATTTTCTCCCTGGAATAGCAGTGTTTGCTCTCTCGCTAAGTGCGCTTTTATGAATCAGGGGCGTCTGTGTAATTGCCGCTAAAATGTTCGCTCTATTGTGTATAATAACTTTCGATAACAGGAAAGACCTTGCCATGACGTACAGGGTCATTTAACCAAGTTTACGATTGTCACTTTAAAATGAAATTAAATATAGACCATTAGCTATATTGTCTTAACGTCTACAAGTAAGCAAATTGCAAGAATTTCGCAGGCTCACATCATTTAGTTAATCTTTACCTTCAAAATGTCGACAAGTTGTCATATTATAGGTAATTTCTCTCAATTCTCAGCAATTTAAATCCTTTTAACAGGTGAATGCAGTCAAGGTTCTCGACTGTGTTTTATACAGTACGCGTTAATATTATTGCGCATTTAAATTCGATCTATTTTGCAGCGTTTTATTTTTGTGCTAAAGAAAGAAAGAACAAAGTAGACTAGGCACTCACTTGAACGCGCGCTTCTGTCAGATCCAGCCTCATCGCGAGCTCCTCTCTGGAAAAGAAAATATAGATCCTCAAAATATGTGCAAGGATATTTTTTTCTTCACAAACACCGTAAGAAAACAGATTTTGCCTAAATTGTCAGAAACCTAGGAAAGCAATTTGGGGCTGATGAGAATCGAACGGATAACTTGTACGTTTTTCATAATGGCTCGTTTCGTTGGGCGAGGCTTTAGTGCAGTGACTGTAACAACATAATGATGGAAATAATGGCATCTAGACTATTATACGACAATTGCGCATTTACTGAAAATATACCTGGCTAAATTTATGACAATTATCTAGCACGTCAATATAAACATCGATAGGCTATTTCATGATCAACAACGAACATTTTGGTTAAAGAAAAACGGTCCACGGGTAAATTTGTCATTAGGCAGACTGTTGATTTTTAGATTTAATAGACTTATGTTGTTTGGCATATTGATTCATTTTCTTTCATGCAACGTGACTGTACGAATACCGAATACATGTGGGGCAATATTTAAAAAAATGAAATAGCCTAAATCTTTATGATATATATTTTCATCAACTACCAATTCCATTCTAAAGTAAGAACATGAATTGCACAAGATTTAATAATAAAAAGAATAACTAAAAAGTAAAATGTTAAATGCATAACAAGTAAAGACACAATACCACTTCAAAATGCACTTCAAAAAGGCCTATTATTATTGTTGTTGTTTTTTCAAACAAAATAATAATAATAACTATAATTATAATAATAATTGTTGATAAAGCGGTTGTATTTCACAGTTGGTCTGGTCGATTCTTCTCTGCCATCCCATGAACCTAAATAAGCATTTTAATGACATTTTAAATGAGCCCAAAACTCCAACAACAGCCACACTTAAATAAGTTAATAAATCTATTATTTTGTTTATTTCTGAATGTGAAGTAGAATAGGCCTACGATTGACCACGAGCTCTTTAAATGCCCACATATTTATTTTGATTATAACGAATGCTCATAGAGAATAAGATGAGAAAACAGACGTAAAAATAATCAAAAATACACTACATTTCAGTCACTAGTTTTTGTTCTAATAATATAGGCCATAGGCCCACAAAATTGTACGCTTGTCGTAACCCCGATTTAATGTAAATCTATTAACCGGTGTTATTTCATTTCTTGGAAAGAGAAGCAGAATTAAATCCCTTTCATAAAGAATAAACGTAACTATTAAAATGCGTTTAAATATTGTTTCCTTCAAATATTTTGTTTCATTAATCCAACCTTTTTGAAATTACCAATGCTTACATCGTTTACTATTTTTTATTAATATATACAGAGGATTTTGTATTTGTGCTTTTAACGTTTTAAATGTTTAATTCATATAACCGTTACTTATACGTTTAGTTTTACAAATGATAAATTATTCTGAATAAAAAAATTACACTACAGCAATTCAGCTGCAGTTTAAATTAATGTTCTCTTTGTTAAAAATAAATACGGATCTGAATGTCAAAAAGTTGGTGGGGTTTTTACGTTTTTTAAATCTACATTTAGAAAAAAATGTCAATGAAATATCTTTCACATTTTTCAGGCATGCAATTTTTTATACAAACAGTATTTGTCTGCCATCGTTGTAGCCAAATATGTATCACAAAACTGCAGATTCTGTCCAAACCTTCTTTGAATAAACCGCGTAAAAAAGCTATACTATGCGTCATATTTACCTGGTGAACACATCGGGGTAGTGTGTTTTCTGGAAGGCCCTCTCCAGCTCCTCCAGCTGATAGCTGGTGAAGGTAGTCCTGTATCTTCTCTGCTTCCGTTTAAGCATCCCTTCCTCCGAGTCGCTGCCGGCCGACAGACACACACTGTCCTCTCCATCTTTTACATCCCCATCGTTGTGTAAGCTCTCTTCATCCTTGGGAGACAGACTGTTGTCTCCGCACGCCTCCTCTTTGACTACATCCTCTTCAAACTTCAGGGTGCTGAGCTCCACCAGCTCCTGCGCCATGTGTTCGGGACTCTGGCCTTCATCACTCTGGCTGAACGGCGCGTTTTCTCTGTACGACTTGCTACGGCTGATGCTGACTTGAGGCGCTTGGCTGATTTTGAGACTCTCGCAGGCTTGGTCCAGCAGTCTCTCCCTCTCACCCTTTTCTAGGTGCTCGTGAAACCCCCTCCCGGAGTCCAGGTACTTCCCACCAGGGCCGTAGAGCCGGCGCAATTTGGGCGGCAGGTGCATGTCCGAGTCAAACGAATTCTCTTTGGAGGTGACTAGAAAAATAAAGAATAGCGTATTTTTAAATGCACCAATTAAACATTTTAAATGTACATATTATATGCATGCATTTAAAGTACTTTTAGGACTGTTATAATGCAAAATATATGTCTTATAAATATGGCCTACGTTTTTATTTAGTTTCCTATATTGGTGCCTAGGCTAAGCACTGATACAATGCATTATATATATATATATATATATATATATATATATATATATATATATATATATATATATATATATATATGCTATTTATTACTTCTGTTTTGTGCTTTTTTCTATGGGCTACCTTAATATGCAATATTGTTTCTGACCATCGTTTTTTATGGAGTTTAAAAAGATTGTCAAATGGCATAATCAAGTTATTGCAATAACGCGTTTCAAGATTGTTCGGTCTTATTCTTTATTTAGAGAGGTTTTTAAAACTTTGTTTTTCTTTACACTCAGATGCGCTCCAAGTGTTGCTTTTTACATTGTTTCTGTAGACTTCTACACACGTTGTAGTTAAACATGCACGAAATCAGTAATGTCGCATTTGTTTTACAGCGTAAAGCGTAGAAACCGCGAGAAAGGGGCTTACCTTCGGTTGTCATTTCGTGGTCCGGTCTGACGGGTGCTGGTAAACTTTGCGCTCCCAGTTGTCTGACTTTACAGGGGCTTCTTCTGCCCAGTATACTGTCTATGCAGTAGGAAGAAAGCACGGTGGGCGACTTGCTTTTACATTCGCTCCGATCGCGGCTATCGTCGTCGTACTGACTGCTCATGTTTGTATCGTCCTCAGTCGTGCTCGAGTGGGTGACTGTTACTCTCTCTCGCACTGTATCTGAAACGTCTCTCTTGCCTATCCCACCCTGGCCGCTAATGCCATATGCACTGATCCGGAGTAGCTCCGCTCTCCATTCTGTTGCATTGACGTGTAACGCAAATCTGATTGGCTCCCAAGGGAACAAGGGGGATCTTTATATATTTTTCTATTAAAGTTAAACGGTATGAACTCAGCGCATGTTATAATGGATTACTGAAGTTACCGAAAAAGCACCTCCACATTTAGACTGAAATTAGATTAATATGATGACTAAATGGATGTAGATATCTAAAATCTCAGAATTTAAATAAACTTATTTATCTAAACAAGTGTCAAAGCATATTTTGAAACACTTTTTAGGTGTTTTTATTTTTTAATAATAATAATAATATACTTCACATAATTAATCGTACAAAATCTTAAATATATAATATATGTTAAAATAAATCAAAATAACATAGGTTATTTAGTATTAAAGATAAATTAAAAGAGTATCTTGATCTTGCTTTTTAGTACTGCTGTTTTTATCATTGCATAATCTTTACATTATTGTATACTCTTGCGCCATCCGGTTTTGGTCTTGTCTTGTTTTCTTTTGTCTAATATTGGTCGTTCTGTCAATCTCTCTGTGGTGTGATATTATTTGGTGTTATTTTACTCTCTGAGCCATAGTCATTTCAAGAAGGAGCCACAGCAAATTTAGAATAGAGGTAAGGCCTGACCGGGTGCATGGTTCACCTGGTTCTCCTGTGCGTGTATACACACACCTAGGCCTAATTGCCTGTCCTCAGAGTGAAGCGATCAGATAGCCATAGATGATTGACTTAAAAAGTGAGGGTGGTGATAATAGGCCGCTGAGAGCGTACTGCAGGCAACTAGACTCCAGAAGACCGGAGAGACAGATTGAGAATGTAATTTTAAATGAAAGTCTATTTAACCTGCTGCGGATGGCGTGACCCTATGCGCCGCTCAGACCTATCAATGTTAAAAGGATCATTTTCACAATTCAATCCCAAACTTGCAACGAATGTGCAATTTACTCTCTCCTCTTCATAGGTTATATGATTCTGCTCTGGTACTGACTGAAATTAGGCTCGTGAAAATACTGTATGTGAGAATGCTTAAGAGCACGAGTAAAAGTTTGATGTTTAGCCTCAATGAAACATTGGGATATCAGCGCTTTATCATTATGTAAAACAACATGTATTAAAATAGATAAATAAATTGTTTTTATTAGCATTGACGATTCTAATAAAAAAGAATAAATAACTTATATAAGTGCATGGAACCCACAAAATAGTGGAGAACGGTTCTGTTGGTCATTAACTCTTTAACCGCCTCCTCAACCAAATGGTTGACCATATTTTGACTGTTTTAAAGAATGACTGTTTTAAATAATGGTTTAAACACACAGCCTGGTTGGTTTACAATAAAACTAAACAAACATAGCCCCGTTGCACTACTACACTTGGTTTTGGTTTTATTGTTAAAAAAACAAACAAGAAAACATGTTAAATGAGAATCTAAAAATTGGCATACTTTAATTGGCATATGGCATACTTAAAAAAATAAGGACGATTTTGTAGTTTTAAAATGTTTTGTTTTGATTAGGTTTTGAAATATATTAGTCTTACACTTCATATTTTCAGATTTTTCATAGTTAGTGTATTAATTACGTAGTACTTTTACCATAAATCGACAGTCTTATCAACCATTTGTTAGAGGCTGATATTTCAGAAATTATATGATGTTGAAAAAAAATCATTGAGTGTATTAACTAGCAAATTTGGGAGTTAAAATACAAAATTTTATTAAGTTTATTAAAAAAGATTTAATTAAGACCTTTTACATTCTGTAAAAGTTAATTATATTTTTCCTGTTTTTTCCTGCATGTAAATAAAAAGTAGTTATTTAAAGAGCTTTTCATTTAAAAACTTCTTTCTGTGTCATCAAAATCATCTTTTGCTATCTTTATTTTTTAAAGTGTATAAACAATCCAAGAGACTTTATTTTTTCCTGAAACTTCAGCACCAACTAAGCAGATCAACAGAACAGAGTAATGACAATAATAACAATATAAGACATTTTTCCTCGTTCCCAAACAGCCGCGTAATGCAGACGGGTATTTAAAGTCGCTATGTAATTTGGGGGCACAATTTGATTCATTTATACGCGCTCTGTTATTAACCCAAGAAAAGAAATGTCAGGGACTATTACCGCCAGCAGGACATCCGCGCTTTGTTTAAATGCACTAATTACACGCACGCATTTGAAAAAAATGCGCAATTTTCCCATATTCAGTCCTGAGTCTATTTAGCGCTCTACGTGCGGGCAGGCAAGCTGTTAGTGGGTGCCAGTCAGTTTCACGCTCCTCTATTACCCGATACCACAGTGTGTCATATTTTCACAACAGCCTAACTTGATAATTTCTACAATCGTCTTCTGTTTTGCAGGGTTTACATGGCCCATAATACGTTGGGTTTTGGCTACGCTTACGCAAACCACCCCTTGTTCCGAAAACAAGACGCTTTTTTTCCCTCAAACAGTAAGTAACAGTACATGACACTTACTTTATATCGTTTCGGTGATGTTATACCAACAGCTCAACAGCTGTGTCTGAATCCCTAAAGTAGACCCTGGCTATCATTCCCAAGTTTTCAAGCAGCGCCATCTCCTGGTGTTAACAACAGCAGTCATCAAGGCAAATGTAAGTCAGTTGAGCAAAAAAAAAAAAAAAAAAAAGAAAAAGAAAAAAAAAGAAAGAAAGAAAAGGAGAACTGCATCATTATTGAAGCATTTTTAAATCATCAGCTGTAACTCATGTGGAAGGTTTCCGCCACACTTCGTCTATTAGACATCTTATAATCGCTAAAGACAGATTGGCTAACAAGACTAATCTTGGGCTGTCAGTGAAAATATAATAGACAACGAAAGATTAGCCCAAAACTAGACTAGTCAAATATACAGTTTAGACAGACTTTATATGTCATTAATTTATGTTTATTTTATGACTAGTCTAGTTTTGCCTATTCTTAGACGTCTATTAGATTTTCACTGACAGGCCAAATTTCTAAACTAAATGTTGGACATCTTTTAAAAACATTTTTTTTATCTATCTATCTATCTATCTATCTATCTATCTATCTATCTATCTATCTATCTATCTATCTATCTATCTATCTATCTATCTATCTATCTATCTATCTATCTATCTATCTATCGTCTGTCTGTCTGTCTGTCTGTCTGTCTGTCTGTCTGTCGTCTGTCTGTCTGTCTGTCTGTCTGTCTGTCTGTCTGTCTGTCTGTCCCAAAACAAAAACGAGCAGGAAGGTTCAGGTTATTAATTAGTTGGCGTTGAGGTTACTGTGCGGTTTAGCGGCTCAGTGTTGAATTTAGGAGCCACACTGATGACAGTTCTGCTCCAGAGGTGGTGTGTCTTCATTCCTGTTGCTGTGACTTAATTGGATGCTGCTCTGCTTGAAAGGGCGAACAAAAAGACGTGCTCTCAGACGCGCGCGTAAGCAAAGTTAATTAGTGGTTATTAACACCACGCATAATGAGAGCGCGAGGGAGTCAATTTAATGACTTTGTTAGCTTAAGTTTAGAATGACAGTCGATGATCGGAACAACAATAGCAATCTAGAACGCAATGATCATCTGTAATTTTCAACAGTAATACGCACTAATAAAAACAAAAGGACTCTAATTTTGTTCAACTGACTCGATAATTTGAATTTATTTAAAAAGGAGGGAGAGAAAAGGGAAGGAAAAGACAACTCAAACATTTTATCCAAAGATTATCTTGTCCTTGAAGACACAAGTAAATAGGATCACAATTGTTTAGTGCATGCATGCCGAATTGTTATTGTTTATTTGGTGGGGTTCCAGATCTGAGCAGGCTGAGCCATAACAGTTGATTTCCATAACAGCATATTCTCCCGGCATTTGTGAGGAATTAAAAGCCTACAGCTCCCAGATTTGCATGGTACAGACGCATGACTTGCAGTGGCCTTCACAAGTTCACAACCATGACCAAACATCATTTAATGTTGGAGTTATTTTGGAAAATTGTTGTTTTATTAAGAATCCCCATGACACAGATTTTATTCACATACTTTCCTGAAGATGAAAGTCTAGATTGACAGGAAAATGAATGAAATACATTTTTATTTTTGGATGCCTCTGCCTCTTTAAGTGTCATGATTTGTGTTGTTTGCTATTAAGTAACTCATCATGGATAAACAATGAATATGATTCTTTCTGACATGTTTATAGAGAATGAGACATCTGTCATTGGTATAATTGCTGTATTGATGCAGAAGTTAATCGTGAATCTCTAAAACATAGTCGGCTAAAAAGAAACTAAGGTTACACTAAAATCCTGGGTTGTTTCAATAGAAATTTGGGTTCACATATAGCCAAACAAAATAATTAGGCTATATAGCTAAAACGAATTGTTTCTTGTTGAGTTAGTCCTGTTATTTCCCCCACACCTCTCAGAAATAAAGCTACGAGAGCTTTCACTGTGGTGGTACCTTTTTAAAAGCTATACATTTGTACCTAAAGGGTCCCTATTAATACCTCAAGGCTACATATTAGTACCTAAAAAAGTACAAATGTGTACCTCTTAAAATGTTTAAGCCGTCGAGGTACCAATATTGACCCTTAAGTAAATATGTAGCTATCTTTTGAAAAGGTACCACAGTGACAGCTCTTGTACCTTTAATTCCGAGAGTGTGAGGTTGAAATCCCAGAATTTGAAAGCTGAAACTTCTCTTAACTCTTCAATAAATCTTAACTTTAATCTTACCACATACTAAAAAGGCGATTAGGCCTATAGCATAGCCAAAAAGATGTCTCATAGCATGTGTCGTAAAACTAACCATTTTAGCCCACTTTGATATGAATAGAGTTAAAAAGGCAGTTTTTAGCGCACTTTTTCTTAGGCCTACTTTTCTT